AATAAAACATCTCATAGGAAACGAGAGCGATGCGAGCAGGACAAATCGTTCTGCCTTCATTCCGCAATCTCCTTGGATCGACAGCGAGATCAGAATGTTTCTAGCGGGTCTTTGCCCATCTCTGCCGAAGATCATTCGATCCCCCCGTCGATGTATCGATAGGCAGCCCGCCGCCGGCCGGGCCCAGGCACCTCTCTACCAGGGTGGTCGCACTGTCGCACCGCTCCCAATCTGCTGCCCCGCCCCGCCCGGTGCACGAGGTGCACAAGGTGCCTGTGCTCAAGGTGCGTAGGGTGCAGAGCTCCCAAGACCCAAGCACCCAAGCCAGTGTCGAGTTTGCACTGTGCTTTCAAACTCATTTCCCGCTTCCATGCGACACATTCAAATCCCTCACAAAGTAGAAGTCGTGTTTCCTCTTTTCGCTTTATTGTACGGACTCGCCCCCCCCCCCTCCCCCGTCTCGGAATCTCACGTACACTTGCACCCCCTCCGCGTCCACGGCCATCCTCCCCTCTGCCGAGCCTACTTGCGCCCCTTGTCGCCCGCAGTCGCCTGCCGCCCCGCCAGCCCCGCCCCGCGAGCCACTAAACCACGGCGATCATATCGTCTTTGACGGGGAGGGGAAAGAGGGGGGAGAGGGGGGGGGGGCGCATGGGGTTGACGACCGATCCGCCGGACACGAACACATCTGCGCCGGTCAAACGAAATTTCACAGTGATGGAAAAAGAGGGAGAAGGAAGAAGAGGCGAGGTGAGTTTGGGAGCGAGTGGACGGGGGTGTGGAGGGGCAGTAAGCGGGGTATATGGAGAGGGGTACGTGCGGGGGCGGGGCGTAGGGGTTGAACTTGCGGGAGCGGCATAAGGCATGTCACCCGCACCGCGCTGGGCCGAGCTGTGCCGCCGGGTTTATGACTTGTAAGCATGCCGCCAACGACCACCTGAGGCGTGCGAGGGAGCGAGCGAGACGGGGGGAGTTAGAGGGAGAGAAAGAAAGTGAGAGTTCATATCAGCTGCAAGGCACTCCCATATCAGAACACGATCTTCGGCTGTTCGTACAAAGGGTCCTTTGTACCCAAGCACCTACCGCTCCTCCCCCACCCCGCACCTTCGGGGGCCCGTCCTTCAGCGCAGATGGGGGTGCGAAACTTCATGAGGCTTCGTCCATAATGCTTTGCGACACAGTGCATCAACTAGCACTCGTCAACCCACAGGTAAAACCGTTCGCTTTGGCATCCTGATTTTACGGTCTCGCGAATCTCAGGAGATGTTACTCATACTTAGCGTTGTAACAGATTCTCGGCACCACAGTCTTTCTCCACGCTGACAGTGAAGGAGCCACTTGCGTCGATGCTTTCCGAACCCCGCTTCACCTTCACCGTTTTACCCGATTGATCTCGAGGTATCGGCCCCGTGGGATAAGCCCGATCACGGGGTGGTTGGGGATCGTCGGGGCCGCGAGGCGCCGGCTGCAGGGCAGGGGCGGTAGGTGCCGTCGGCGTGCCACCCCGCCGGGTCATGTGCACTCGCGGAGCTTGCAGAGCTCGCGGGGGAGGCGCAGAGGCCGCTTAGGGGCTCCCGCGGGGTGCGCGGCGGGGCTGCCAGGCCTAGGCAGGAGAGGGGGGAGGTAGGGAGGGAGAGGGCCGAAAGAGGTCGTAGCCCGCTTTACAGGCGGTTTGAACAAGTGCATCTGTGCATGAGGCACCAATACCAGCCCCCCCCCCCCTTTCCTCCCTTCTCCCTCTGCCATCAGAGAGGTCGGTGACCTGCTCCGTCACCGGCTAAGTGCACGCCGAGAAGGTTCTAGAGACCCTTTGACAAGTCGGCAGTCGGCAGACTTACCACCAGTTGGCGACGGTCGACTCCAAAAGCAGCATGACGGCAAACGTGGCCGCCCAGGTCGACCGATGGGCCGTCATCTTGGCGCTGCACGTCTTGTATGTGTCCAGACCACTATGGAAGCACTTCCGCACTCGTCAACCAGCGGGTCAACCACCACCACACTCTTTGTCACCGCCGCCCTCAACCGCCACTCAGCCGCGCCACCCCGCCGGCTGAGCTATGGGCGCGGGCCATGGACCACTCGCGCACATCCACCAGGGCGCTGGGCGCGCTGGGCAGGGGGCCGCGCCGCTGCGGGGGTCGACCGGCGAGGGGCACGCGAGAGCACGAACGTCCGGACACGCGAGGGACACGCGGAGGGGCACACGGAGGGACACGACGCGCCCGAACACCTCGGCTGCCAAGTACTCTCTGCAGGCTGAGCTCGGCCCGGCCCGCGGCGAGGAGCGGCGGCAGCGGTGCGGAGCCCTGGCTGGAGGCAGGACCTCCCCCACCACCGCCCTCGCCCGCCCTCCCCTCGCCCTCCCCCCGCCGGCGCGAGGCACCTCTCCTCCAATGGGAGCGCGAGGCTGGGGCACAGCGCGGGCGCGGCGCGCCTGCCCATTGGCGCCCCGCCGCCCCGGAAGGGTACCGAGGGTTACCTACGGTAGGTACCTACCCCGCCGGGTACCAACCCCCCGTCGGCACCTGCTACCCGTGGCCGGGCGGGGCGGAACGGGGCGCGCACCACATATCGCCCCAGCTCATTACGCCGCCTTTCACCGCCAGGTAGCCTTCTGCACCCCGTTCCAATTCGGGGTTCGATGGGTTGGATCTGCAATACCCCAAGGGAGAAAGTGGCGGGAAAGTGTGCTCACATTCAAACAGCGCGCCGGCGCGCGCTTCAGCGCCCTCCTCCTCCAGAGAGAGTGGGGAGACTGACATGTTTAACGGAGGCAAACACTCTTTTCGAAAAAGCCCGCGCGCCCTGTTGCCTTCCTCTGATTGGTTACCCAGCAACGTGCGCTTGAAACAGCTGACGGCACACACAGTCCAAAACAAATAAAATAGTGCTGACGGGATTTCGCGGATACAACTCGCATCGGCGGTCGCTCCAGCAACAACAACGCGGCGCGGCATGGGCGTCGACGGCGTCGACTTGTTCGGAGCGCTGGGGCTGGACAGGTCCTGCAGCCAGCTGGACGTCAAGAGGGCGTACGTAGCCACGAATAGTTATGTCGTTCCATCTTTGGTTTACCCGCCTCTTTCCCCCGCAAGATGTGTTATTTCTGTTCACTAGATTTCGTCGGTCGGCGCTCAGCCTGCACCCAGACCGCGCCCGCCTCCGTACGCCCGTGCTGCTCGCCCCGGTAGAGGGCCTGCCCGCAGAGGGGGCGCGCGGCGATGCCAAGGACGCCGCCGGGGGCAGCGCGGAGGACGACAGGCGCTTCGCGCTGGCCGCCCGCGCCTACGAGGTGCTCGTCGACCCCAAGAGCCGCGCCTTGTACGAGGTCCACGGCGATGCGAGCCTGCCCCCGTTCCACGGCGACGCGCAGCGAACCTTCAGGTACACCCACCCCTAAAAGTAGTAAATGGTTTGTGTTTGCTATCGTAACGTGGAAGGGTGATTTATGCCTGCGCAAGTATGTATGTATGAAGTATTTAATTATTCATTATTAACTGGTGATCTATCGCTTTTAGTAATTTGATCGTTATTTCACATTCAGTCTGATGATAGTCGTACAACTCCGATGAAATATGACACTTAAAATGAAAATGACGCTCCCGCTGCTCTACATCGCTTATTTCGAAATACATATCACAGCAGTTTGAGATCAGACAGGTCCTTGTTGAGGGTGGGGATGTGCTGATCGGGGAGGGACTGGAGCGGCGCTCTGGCGGGTCCCATGTCGAGTCCAGTCAGGAGCTTCATGGCCGCCTTCATGGCAGGCACCCACTTGCCTGAAATGCGAAGTAGAATAAAGGGGTTGCCCAGGAGGATACGACCCGACGCCGTGAAAGGTTTGAGGGCTGGCGCCTAGGACAAACTCACCGTTCTTGGTGATGGCCTGGGCCGCCTTGTTCAGGGTGTCCTGCGCCTCCCTCGCCTCCAGGACGCTGCCCTTCTGCACCGCCTGCAGAATGCGGTTGCACAGCCTGGGCAGGAGGTTGAGGCAGGTCGCGATGCTCGACGAGAAGCCCAGGGCGAAGGCCCCGGCCAGGACGTAGTCGCAGCCCAGGAACACGCTGTGCGCGCCGCCGTCCTGGCGCACGCACTTGATGCCCATCTCCAGGTTGGTGTCGGTGAACTTGATGCCGGCGAACGTCGGGATGGCGCGGGCGGCGGACGTCATGAAGGAAGGCACGTCCACTGCGGAGAGCGACGCAAAGTCAGGGTGTGCTCCTGTGTCCCGGGCTGACAGTAGGGTGTACTCCAGGTGTACTCCGGGTGTAGTGTACTCCGGGTGTGGGTGGTGTACTCCTGTTATACTCCTGGTGTACTCGGGGTGTGGTGTACTCCTGTTATACTCCAGGTGTACCCCCTGTGTCCCCCTAATATTCGAGTCGTCCACCCTTTGCCGGGCATACGGTACTCACAGTTGACGGAGGTGTAGCCGGGGTTGTGGTAGTAGAGCAGAGGGGTCTTGGGGGCGGCGGCGCCCACAGCGCCGAGGTACTCGATGAGCTCGGCCGCGTTGGCTGGCCTGTTGAAGAGCTCCGGGAGGCACAGGATGGAGTGGGCACCCTTGCTCTCAGCATGTCTCGTCTTGTCAAAAAAGAAAAGAGAGGGTAGAGCGTTGTTTTAAAACTCCACACGGGTTGCTAATCGCAACTTGTACCCCACACGACTCACCAGCTCCAGGACGTCGGGCATGTTGGTGCCGCCCACCTGCACCTGCACGTGGATGCCGTTGCTCTTGGAGGCGTCGATCCAGGCCTCGGTGGTCGCCTTTCTCTCCTCCAGCGTCATGGACATGCCCTCCCCGGACGTACCATTCACTAGAAGCAGAGTTCTCCTCAGCTCAAAAGCACACAGACTAAGCCTTCGGCGAAAACAGTTAGCAGTCTAGCAGACGATATTTACCGAGTACGCCGAGAATGCCGTTCTCTGCCAGAAACTTGGCATAGTGCTTGATTACGGCTAGATTAACTCGTTGCCTGTGTGGAGAGGGATCAAGCGAGAGAGAGAGTTACACATGCGTGGTACAGGCAGGATGCGCTTGTTTTTCGCTGCTTACCCATCGGCGGAAAAAGCGGTGAAAACTGGGGCCATAAGGCCTTCAAATTGCAGCTTCTGCAAAAGCGACAAAAGGAAAAAACATTTTTTATCAAGAATTAAAAGTCACCGATAAAGAGGTGTGGTGTTTACGCCAACCAGCTGAGGGGCTAGAAGATAGTGGCCCGCTTTCTCTGACCCCGACCCCTCTGACCGCGACTTTCTCACATACTCCCACGCGATACATTATCAGGCGCCATCACATCGAAAAATAGACGTAACACACTCGCCGCTCTTCACCCATGAGCAGGACGCGTTAAAACAGCAACGGAGAGAACGGCAATCACACCGACTAGCTCGCCGACTAGCAGGTTAGAAACTGGCAAGGTACCGGGGACTTTACACGGACAGGTTCGGTTTGAACTCAGGCTGCTGGCTGAAGGACTTTCCTCTGGGACAAATTCGGTTCTCTGAGGAGGCAACACAGACGTCTTGCGAGCCAACCAGGACGAGTTCCGCTCCGAGCGCGTTCAATGGGGGTGGGAACCGCGCACGGGTGCATCCTGCACGCGACGTGTTCGGCACGGCGCCGAGCGTGCGTGCCGAATGGGTTGCCTGACTGCCGGGCGCTCGGCGACGACCGGGCGCGAGCAGAATGGAATCCGAAGGTTCGTTCAGTGAGTTGGGGGCTCCAAGAGGAGGCACCTAACAAACGACAAGACGCCTTCGGTGCCACGGCCCTCGGGGTGGCCGCAGTTGCCAACACCTCCGGTTGCCCCAGCTGCCTCCTCTTGATAAAAGCGCGCCACTTCCACGAGCAAAACAAATTGGACGAGAGGCTGCCGACCTTGGGGACCTTGGTGACGCCTTGGGGACCTTGGGGAGGGCGGGGACGCGCCGCTGGTTCCGTCGGCTTCGGAACCTGACGCGGCGCACAGTACTTTGCATTACTTGAACGTCTACGTTTAAGTGAAAGAATGAGTCCATCACGTCCAAGTAAAAGTCAGAGCAGGAATGACATTTTTGTAGGCTCGTTATTTGAATGAATCCCGGACGAACTTGAATCTCAACTCGGACTCTCGCTCCACTCACACTCACCATGATGCGGCCGGAGTGTCTGTGGACTTGCGCGCCGGTGGGAGCGTCTGAGGTGGAACTGACTGGTTGGTGACTACGAAATCTCTCTCGTCGCTCCCAGAGCGTCTGCCGTCTGCCTCCCCCCCCCCCCTCCTCCTCGTCTCTACCGGCTCTCGGACGCCCGGGCGATAACAGCAGACAGTCAAGCCCACAGAGTTTAACCAGTGAACGATGCCAACAGCGGATCCAACCAACTTGTACCAGACGGGCGGGGGAACAAACTAATACCCTTTTTTTCCTTCTGTTTTGCTGGATTCTTTTTCTTTATCCTTTTCTTTTGCCATTTACGTACGCCCGAATCGCACAGTACAAGAGAGAGGATCCAGACCTGGTCTTGAAAATGGAAAAGGGGAGAGGGGCGAACACCATGCTTTTTAGCCTTTTTATAAGAAGCAGCGGCCGATCGCCTACTGTCGCGACGTAAGTGACAGTAGCTTCAACTTCAAGTAGGGTAAACCTCTCCAAACGCGTGCCGTATAAATAGGGGGGTAGGGGCACAACTAGACCGGTCCAAACAAAAAGAGAAAAACGAAAACCATTCTAATACAACACTACTGTGGAATGCAATTTGTTTCTTTCACAAATGTTTCCAGGAAGTTCTTCGGCACCGACAACCCGTTCCTGGCCCAGCTCAGAGACCGCGTGCACTTCGACGTCGAGAAGCCTGAACCCCCAGAGACCATCGTGGCGTCACTACGCGTCACCCTGAACGAGGCACAGCATAACAACTGCCGTTCATAAAACACTTCCGTCGACCCGAGCGACATCTCAACCCTTTCCAGATCAACGAAGGCGTCACCAAGACCTGCACCGTGCACACCAGGGTCCCGACCAGTTCAGGGGGAGACGCCACGACTCTGCGCGAGCGTAGTTTCGCCGTCGATGTGCCGCCCGGTGCTCCATCGGGGACCAGATACGAGTTCCGGCGGCAGGGTCACCAGGATGCGGGGCGACCGCCGGGTAAGCGGTGGCCTCGGCGGTGGCCGCCCTCTGGCGACTCATCCATTGCTGTCCACGTCCACTGCACTCACTCGCCCCATGAGAAAATTTACATTGGAATCCACGGTTATCTACGTGATTACGTGATTTGACGTCGAATCCACGTGAATAACGTACATTCGCGTGGAGTGCGTGGAGTCAACGATGCATCTACGTCGATACGTGGATAGGGTTATGTTGACGTCATTTCCCATGGGCTCACTGGTTGGGCACCCACCCCCCAGGCGACGTGGTGCTGCTGCTCGAGGAGCTGCCGCACGACCGCTTCGTCCGCGACGGCGCGGACCTGGTGCAGAGCGAGTCGGTGTCGCTGCGCCAGGCGCTCACCGGCTGCACCGTCGAGATCCTCACTCTGGACGACAGGCTCATTCGGGTCGCCATCACCGACATAGTGAGGTAGACGCGCGACTCTCTTCACTTCCGGGCAGACCCTGGGATCGTGTGGCTCGTGCACTGTTTACGTTTAGAGGGGCTTGCGTACTTTTCACCTGCTACACTGTTAAAAAAGTTGTGAAATTTCACATCAAAATCAGTTGTAAAATTGCAAACGTGGTTGGGAAATTTCATAACATTATCAATTTTGCAATTAGTTATTAAAATCCATAACAGTTTTCTGAAAATTCAAATCTGTCTTCTGAAAATTAGGAAACATTTGTAATTTTACAATTTGCGATTGTAAAATTGTGATCTTTCTATCGGGAATGTGAGATTTGATTGTAATTTTCCGATTGCAGTTTGTAATTTTGCGAAGTAAAACCAAATGAAACAGGACTTGCACAAGTCCTCCATCAGGTTTACTACAGTACAACGAACCTCCACACCTATAAGCCCGTTGTGACTCTGGACTTGCATGCGACGAAACAGCAACTGTACTCTAAAGAACTGCCGCCCGATGGCGTTGTGGTCAGCGCGTCTCTTCCAAGAGCAATTATTAGTATTTAACTAAAATTTGCACAAGAAACTGACATGTATTTTTGAGCGGTATGATCTGTAACACAATGCTGTAGCTGGCTACGCATTTGTTTTTGAGCAAAAAGTCAACCAAGTGCCCCAAATAATTGGTCTAATTCCAGCGCGCGCCGGTCCCCGCTACCTCTCCTTAGTTAGGTACGGCGCCGTTCGCATTCGTTCAGTGCGGGGCGCCTGGAAAGCGCTCCCGTATATTTGCTGTGACTTTACCCTCAGAGGTAGGTGACACTCTTACAGTTCTACGAGCTGATCCCTAGACCGTCTATGGCTCACGTACTCCCTGTACATGGCAGATTATTTTAATCTTTCAAACCCTAACGTACTGAAAATCCACATTAACGTTTTTAATTTTCAGATCGCAGATTGTGAAATTTCAAAACACGTTTGCAATTTTTTTTACAAGTGTTTTAGTTTGTAATTTTACAAACATTGAATTGCGTAAAAAGTTGCCAACAAAATTCGTAAAATTACAATCGATTTTTTTAACAGTGTAAGAAAGTTCATGGTTGATGAAAACAGTTTGAGCGCCATGACAAAGTTATCCCACCAGGAAAAAAAACGAGAAAGAGCGAGGAAAGAGGGCGGGGGGAGGGGGGGTGGAGGCAAGTTCTTCCCTTCTCTGGTAGACAGTCTTGGGGACTATCTAAAATGGTTACGGAAGGGGAATACATTTATACCGGGCTGAATTTACAATCCTGCGGGGGCCTTTTTGAAGTTTAAGTTGAAGTTTCAATGTGGAACAGGCCGGGCTTCGAGAAACGCCTGGCGGGCGAGGGCCTCCCAGTCTGCGGGTCGCAGGGGCCCCACGGGCCACGGGGCGAGCCCCGGGGCGACCTCGTGCTCCGGCTCGACGTGCGCTTCCCCGCGGCGCTGTCGAGGCCCTGCCGCGCGCTGCTGGACCAGGCGCTGCAGCTGGACGAGCAGGGCGAGGCGCGGCCCAGGGCGCAGCAGCCGCCCGCGCGCCAGCCCGGCGGCGTGGCGAGGGCCATACTGGAGGACAAGATGAGGAGGCAGACGAAGTAAAGCTCGCTACAACCCAATATTGTGCTTCGTTCTTTTTCACGGCGGGAAATTTCACCCCCACCCCCCTTACACACACCCAGGCTCATTCACGTACGCTGCTTTTTTGAATGTGGGGTCAGTCAGACTTGATCGCCCCTCCAGGACCCCTCTCTCTCTCTCTCTCTCTCTCTCTCTCTCTCTCTCTCTCTCTCTCTCTCTCTCTCTCTCCCTCCTTCATCTCTAATGCCGCGAGCATTCGTAAGAATTAGGTCGGGTATTGTGCAGTGAATTAGGATTAGCCGCGGTGGCACTTCCCCCGTTTATCGAAGACTTCCAGGATCAGGGCCTCGGCCTGTTCCTGTTCGGTTTTTTCCGGGGACCGCGGGCTCGCCTTTGGGCTCGAGCGCACTAAAAGTCATCGTATGTATGTTTGTGTGTGTGTGTGTGTGTGTGTGTGTGTGTGTGTGTGTGTGTGTGTGTGTGTGTGTGTTTTGTGTGTGTACACACAATCGTAAAGGAGGGAAAGGGAGAGAGAGAGACAGTGCGTGCGTGCGTGCGTGCGTGTGAGGGAGAGAGGGAGAGGGGGGGATAAAAACACTCGCGATTGGTAAGTCCGGCCGGCGGAGGGTCGTAAAGGGGGATTAGCAGACGTGTCTCCCGCCGTGGACTTATCTCTCTTATTCGCCCCTCTGCTCGCACACGCACACGCGCACACATACACACGATTGTGTCCTTTTGTTGTAGTTTTGTCCTGTGGGGCTGATATGTGCTCACGAACCGTCGCGCTTTCGAAATAGACCACTGTTATTAAATGATTAACAAACAAGACTAGAATATGCTCATGCTCAATTCCTTGCCAAAGGCAGAAGTACGCACTCATAATTACGTGACAACATTGCGGACAGGAGAAAATAAAGAAAGCAGGGGGGGGGGTTTACACGCTACTGCTAGTGTATGCGCTCAGCGGGTCGCCTCGGCCTTTCGCATCCTTCGACACTCGTGGTTTTCTTTCATAAAAACCGCTAAAAACTTGTCCAAAATGGGAAGTGTCCGCCTGATTTCTCTCGACTCGTGCGCCTCAGCTGGCAAGCAATAACCTCGACCGTGAGACTTCTTGTATCGTGACCAAAAGTGTGAGTGTGTGGGTGCTCCGGGTAGACGTGAAAGTCACGTTGCTCGCTAAAATTCAGTGACGTTGTTTTGTGTTCGCGCCGCCAAAGGAGAGAGACACATGCGCCGCTAAACAAGAGCGACATTATGGATGCATCTCGTACCACAAAAAACCTATAATAACCCCCAAGCCGGCTCAACCATTGCTGGACCCGAGGCGTCGCGACAGGTAGCGATCGGGCAGGTCCCCGTTGCTCTCTCTTAGGAGCGAGAGACCTCACTCCTCGATGTTCATCAGTGCGCTGAATCGTGATCATCGCGATCGCGTGTCTTCTTCCGTCACTCGGCCCGCAGACCATCGACCCCTTCCAAAACTAGTGTACTTCGACTAACGCCTTAGGTTAGCTAAGAGCTAGTAGGACGTACAGGTCGAGCGAGCGAGAGCGTCTCCACGTCCCGCCACTACCGCCTGTCGCTCGTCAGCCGTCGTCGTCTACCCCATGTCGGTTATCCGTTTGTTAAGTGGAGACTATTAGGGTGGTCCATCAGCCCCGTCCTTCCTACTGCAGTGCCTTAGACGCCTCGGTGTGCTGTACACAATAGGCAAGCCGGCATCCGGTTCAGTATGACCACAAGAGAACGGGGCTGTCCCCCGGGGGACGGTCGATTGCGGACATCTCTGGGTCCGGAGGGTCGGAACGGTCGATTGCGGACAAAGCCTTTTTGACAGGGGATTACCGGATCCCGAGGGTTCACGGGTCTGCCCGCAATCGACCAGGGCTCTCCGCGGGCGGGCGTGGCGTGCCACGTCCAGGTGGACGCACGGCGTCTGTGCCCCATGCCACCCCATGCCTAAGCGTTGCGCGGAGCGATAGCGAAGCGCAACGCTGCACAGATA